ATACATATACATACATACGTACATACTGTACAGTAACTGGTTACTTTGTGCTTTGCCTCATGCCGCGGCAGGTTGCTCAGTGTTACTCATGACAGCGCATGCGAGCCATGTGAATCCTTGCTCTTTCCATTGCCTTGGTGGGGAGCGGCAGAGTGGGGATCACGCTTCGTGACGCCTCGGACCTGTAGGTGTTCTTTCAGTCATTCAGCCATACTCAGACCGAGGCCGTAGAAGGCCAGGCCAGAGATAGTGGTAGAGGAACCGTATGGGAGAGAGAACAGCAGAGAGCATAGCAGAGCATGCAAGCCGCAAGGTCACGACTAGCAGGCCCTATAAGCCATAATTAGTAGGCCAGTAGGGCATCAGCTCAAGTTCGGCGCGATGCCGGCGGGAAAGATCGGGAGGCCAACGCCTAAAGCTCTCGAGGCGATTTCCTGCCAGCTTCTGCTCTTGATTCCGATCTTGCGGTAGCTCGCCGCTTGCCTGGTGCAGGTGCGAGTTGTAGAGAAGTTCAAGAAACACAATGCTCGCTACATGGACGGCGCGGTGCTTTGCAAGTAGCAGATATTGCTTGCAACGTCAGGCGCTTGCTTCTCTGCAATCTGATGTGCGCTCTGGACTGCCCAGGTTGGAAGGAGTCTCTGCCCCACCTGAGCAAGCCTGCGACGTCTGTACCGCCAGCGGGCCGGGGTGGCGTTAGCTGGATTGGCCAAAATCCGGACCCTTGCAGAGCAGCCTCCATGCAGACGAAGCATGCATCGCTTGTTTTGGTTGAGATGCCGTGCTACTTAAAGCTTAGACGCTACGTGCATGTGAGCAGTGAGCAAAAAGGTAGCCACGTGCTTTTGCACCAAGGCAAAATATCTTCTGAAGCAAGGGGTGGTCCCCTTGCCACCTGCTGCGGAGCAAAAGCCTTCGCCCTCTCAGGCTGTTGGGGTGTTGTTCTTTGATGGTAGAGCTTGGTGGCTTTTGCTCGAGGCAGCTTCGGATGCAGAACCAGCAAGTAGCAGATCGGAGCTCACCCACAGCCAGTCCGCCCCAGCCGCTGGCTGGGAAAATTGTGTTTGACGTTCCGTCATGTTCAGAGCAACCAAAATGCTGTAAGCTTTGTGCAAGGTGCTGCAGAAACGCGGGCACCGACAGCTGGAGATGATGTCCTGCAATGAGCACTACATTGAGCAAAGGCATCCCGCTTTTGATGGGAATCAGTGTAGGGGAATGCTGAGTCTCTGAGAGCGCACGAGCAATGCGCGAGCAATCCGGCCGGTAGAAGGCAAAAGGCCGACGAGCAGTCTCAGAAACGAAACTTCCGTGAGGGCTTGGCCTTGTCGAATTTCAAACACGAGGGCACTTTCTTGCGAAACTCGACTTCAGAAGCAGGTCCTTCGTGTAGCGCCGCTTCGAAGTAAAGAGAGGCTTTGCAAGGGATGTCACAAAGTCCGTCATTGCTGAAGGGACAAGTCCGACAATTCACAAGGTGGCAGTGCCTTACTTGTGCTTTTGCGCGGCAAGTCCTAATCTCCTTGCTGGGCTTCTTCTCCACCTCCCATGTCCCTACAGCATGAAAAGTTGCCAATCACTTAACAGAAGTGGGGCGTAGCTGGTCGATCATTTCTGAGACTTTCTGAAGAGACCGACCGTGGCAGTCACTGCAAAACTGCTATACCCTGGTGCGGGCAGCGCAGCATCAGGCTGAAGCTCGAAGACGAGCAGCAGCTCAGGAGCCGTCGAGCCCCACGCTGCCACATGACAATGCTGTGCCCTTTCAGGAGCGGACCTGACATGAAGGAGCTGATCTATCACGGTGTGTCTCACGACCACCAGGGCCGGAGAGCGTATCTACAAGCCCGCAGGACCGGAGCCAGCGTGCACGTGCTTTCCTGAAATGCAAAGCCGCCAGGAGGCTCTGGCCCCAAGATCGCCTGCCGGCGCCTGTGACCTCAGCAGCAGAGGCGCAGAGGGGAGCCTTCTGCAAAAGAGCAGAGTGGTCGTTGTGCTTTGATCTCCCAGCAGGTGGGCTGGCGCAGCTATGCCGGTCCAGACAAGATCGTGGGCAAACAGTTAGATTTCAGGCAGCACCAAAGGCTTTGCGTCTAATCCAGTAATCTTGAGAGTTGCTTCTCTTCCGAGTTGACCATTGCTGCCTGTTCGGCTGTGTGTCTTCATGCGGCCTGCTCCGAAGTCCTCAACCTCTAGCGACTCTAGTGACTCTAGTGCCGCAGTGAAGCACTTGGAGTTCAGGCTGGCAGGAGCCGGGAGAACATTGAACATGAAAGGTAAAGAAAGAAGCGCATCCAAGTGGCGACCCGCGTACGACAAAAGGGTGAACACGGCAAGCGGCCCCACGCACAACTCGGGAAGAGAGTCCACAACCTTTGATGCGTGCAGCACGAGACAGTTCCAACAGCAGCGGCAGCACAGGTTGTCACAATTCAGCTTACTGTTGTCACCTGGCTGATGCGGCAGCAGGCAACTCCGCGAGACTAGGGAGAAAGCGACACCGCGGTGCTCATGTGTGCCATGTTCGATCGACAACCTCACAGGGCAGATCTCAGTCTTGGAACTGTCGGCAGATCGGTTTGAATTCATGCTGTAGCTGTATACGTGGGGCTTTGTCAGAATCTAGTTCTGCGGATACGGTGCAGACCTGCGAAGCGATGATCCTATGGCGCTGAGGATCCAGTACCCCTCCTCCTAGCACCATCGTGCTGGGATGAGCTCATGTGAGAGGCAGTGGCACGTGCCCCTTTCAGAAGAGCAGCCGAGCCATTTCAAAGCCGCCCATGGGTGCATAGCAGCAGCCCATCTTCACGGTCTCATTGTGAGATGATTAGTTGACGACGGCCCGTGTCGACAAATCGTGATGTTGAAGGTTCAGCTACTCTTTGCAGAGCCATGACATCGCAAGAATGCGTGATGGGCATCTGCATGTACTTTTACGAACACCTGAATATCGAGCACGGATGTTGTTCAGCGATCTATTCGCTTCCATCTTCGTCCTCGGACTTGAGGAAGGTGCACCTTTGAACCTCTGGGGCCATCGGGCATGAGACAGTGGCCTGCCAAAGGCAGAAGCTCTGTCGTGCCAGATCAGCTTTCGGCGCTTCAATGCGAATCCTGCACAAGCTTGTCGCATGTCGCATGTCCACCCTGAGAAGAAGTTTCATTTCTTGTGGTACTCTTACGTTGAGCTGTGGATGCCCCATCGCGGTGCTTGACCCGCGTGTGTGTGTTCAGAAATTCCGAAGCCGAAGCTGGAGCGCTTCACTGGCAGCGGACAAACAGCCAGTCTCGCCTGTGGAAGTTGGAGCCAGGAAGGCCACTTTCCCATGCAAGCTAGCTCATGCATTGCTGAGGTGGCAGAATCGGATTGAGGGCATTCAATCATCTTCCAGGCTCCATTTCTGGCCAGCGACAACTAGATAACTGGAAGCTTCTGCCAGGTGCGACTCTCGCAGCATGCTCAGAGCAAGAGAGGGTTCAGAGGGCAGAGCGAGCTCGGTATGATCCTTCTCGGCTTCCTCGACTCGGCTCCGCTGGTTGTAGCCCAGAGAGTCGAAACTAGGACACAACCTGAACGGCTTTGCAACACCGAGGCCAGGGGCCGTCCAAGGCCGTGGCGGATCCCAGCCTGTGCACATGCTCCATGTCCTTCTGTTGCAGCCTTTAGCCAACTTTAGCCCACACTTGGGGAACGCATGCTGTCTTGTTGCGTCATGCCACTGCCCCTGTGCTTCATTTCAAGCGGTCTTCAGGGTCTTCTGGACGCTCAGAGCCGCCTGGGAAGGCCAGTCGCTCGAAGTGCTTTCGCTCACAATTTCCAGTTTGCTGCCACAAGACAATTATAATTATCATTGCATCTGTGCACATTTGTCATTGCAGGGCCATCAGCTGGAAGCCAGCTCTTATGCAACAGGTGCAAGCTGGGTGCAAGCATTATTCCTGGTCTGGGTCGTCTATATACTTGCTCGTAGCATGGTCGGGGCTGCGACAGATTGTCTCACGGAGCGATTTGTGGCACTTAGGCACTTAGGGGTCTGAGCGAGGTCCATGGCTTTCAAAGGTTGGCACGACTATTTTGGCTCCGAACGACAGCCCCGAAAGGAAAAGAAGCTAGGTTTGTCTGAACTTCGTTGCACTGGTCATTGCCAGTGTTGTAAGAGATGATCTTCTTCTGCTTGTTGAACGATGCTCTAAACTCTTACAGATATCACAATCGAGAGGGCCTGAGAATAACACAAGATTTCGAAAAAAGACCCTCCCTGAAACCTGGCCGTCGAACGTGTTGGAGCCACTCGGCTGTCGGCATCGGTCCTCAGAGCGCTCGCACTCCCCCTTGAGAGAATGCTCAATCAAAGGAGCGCGATGTTGCGACAGATTGGAAGAAGGACGAAGCAGATCAAAGTCCAAAAGCTTCGCTCCAAGGAATTCTTTGCAAAACACTGTGCTGCATGAACGGCAGTCCATGCCAGAAGAAAACGACTGTGGTTTGCCCTGCTGCATTGAGTGACGGAAAAGTCAAAAGGTCAAAGTCCAACTGTGACCCTTCAAAACTCCAACGCAACGGACATTAGGGCTTAAGAAAGAAAACGCGGTATTGAAGTACGATGATCGCCACAGACGATCCTATGCTTGCAACAGGCTCACTAAGTCCAAACGAGTGAGCCTTACTGTGTCCGAGCAGATGAGGTCACCTAGTCTCTGCCAGGCGATACACAACATCGGCATTGCTTTGCAGTGTCCACGGCAGGAACTGTACTATTAACCTGCCCTACAGAACCAGAATAAAAACTAATGCCTACCAACCGAAAATTTTCCACCACCTCCGCGAACGCTCAACGAGCGATCAGGCCCTTTTAGGGTACAGGATTAGGGTTTATAAGGCGGGTAAGGGGTCCACGCTGCAGCCCACGGGACTGGCCACAGCGCTTGCACGAGCACAGTTGCACGGAACCCCAAACTAGCCTAAACCAAAAGGAACTCCACAGGCCCTACTTGCCCTACAAACCCTAGGGAAGGATTACAGGCGCTTTCAGTCAACTTCTTGAATCTCAGTCAGTCTCTGTGTGACCAAGCTGTGATAGATTGCCTGTTGTGCTTCAGTCATCTGCCGATGCTCAAACTGAAGGCCGCGATCCCAAATAACATAGGCAGCTGTAGCTACTTGATAATCAGCAGGAGTCAGATCATCAGCGACACTAGGAACCCTAACACCCCAACTTTCCATAATGTCGTCAGCATAGGCAACTCCGTAGGGAAGGTGAGTTCCTTCAGGGCTCCTACTGCCTGCGGTGCGGGTCACGTCTCTGTCTACACTGGACACAGCTGAGGAGTGGGGAGGAGCTACCCTAACTGAAACAGTTTGCTCTGGCGAATATTCTCGCAAGTAGAACCCTAACATCATCCTAAACGCTTGGTCCATTATACCCGTAATCCCATGCTGAGTACGAAACCCAAGGTCATTCGAAACAGCTACAGGTCCACCTTGCTCAACCCATATCTCAACAGCTCTTCGCACCCTAGAATGATCATACCCTGGCTGCCACGAGAACATAGTGTACACGCGGTCCCATTGCTCAGCAAGACGATCCGGGAACGACTGCTCCCACGGAACAGGCTCAGGCTCGTCCAACGAGCGTCTGTCATCTTCACCGTCGTCATCGTCGCTCCAAGGCGCGCCGTCGTCAGAGACCTCACTATCACTATGATCATCAAGGAGCGGACGCACAGGAACGACGTAAGTCCATGCTATGAAGACAGAGATCTTCACACCAAACGAGACAGATCGGAGTTCTAAGACCTCATCACCCATAGGATCTAAAAGCCTAAACACCAACCCACCAACCTCGCGAAGCACATCCCTCAGTTCGAAACATGGCTCAAGCTGTTGAAGACTCTCAGTAGCTTCGTCTCCCGAAACTTCCGGCTCAGGCTCCCCCGACTGAGAACCTTCCCGAAGCTCATATGACGCAGCTTCACGCAGCACTTCATCAGCGATGTCTCTGAGCATTTGCAGCCTCCGTGCAGTCCGATGCCTGCGCCAAGACTCCCAGAAACATAGCGCAATGCACACTAGAACCGCACACCCCACTACCCACAACCATAAGCCACCCTCAATTTGTACCCATGACTGCGGTTGCGCCTCGGAAGTACACAAGCATGATGCCCCTACTAAAAGCCTTAGCTTAGCTCCGTTCTTGGCAGTTGGTTTTGAAGTAGCG